GCTCCCCGAAGGCTGAAGATAGAAAAAAAAGTTCTCCTCACATAGCCCTTGTCCTGGTGCTTCGTTCAACATCGTGAGAGGATTTGTGGAGTTATGTCTCTGCTAGATCTCGCAGGTATATGGTTATCTTTACTGGATTTGCTCAGATTCGGTCTTTGTTCATCTATATTCGTGTGTCTTGAGGTGGGATACTTCCGATCTACTTCTCTCTTTATCGGCGGTGGTTGCTGTTCTAGTGCACTGGTTCTATGAGGCCTTAGCACGACGATTTTACAACTGTCAACTACAACAACTTTTACCTGGCTCTGGCGAGGGAGGGCGATGACGGCAGCGCGCCTTCGAACCGCTTCAGTGCTTATTGTCGTTGCTAGGTAGTCTACAGATATGGACATAAATTTTTATTCTATTTGATATTTGTTGTACTGCTATGATTGAAAATGAATTATCAAAAGCTTTCGCAAAAAAAAAACCACCTGCATATCTTGAGGACTTTTTATTGCACAAATATAAAAAATGTATTTTTCTAAAGCCCAGATTTTGCTGTGACTAATAAAGCCCATTTTCTTATTTTTGTGGACATGGCAAATGTAGTATAAATCTAGGCTTTTCTTTTACTGGTCTTTATTTTTATAGGGAAAATGCCTCTAGAGGCCGATGGGTAGAGTGTTTGGGCTGTGGTGTTTCCCTATCGAACAAAATCATACGGTGGGATGATCGCTGGTACCGAACGACTCGTTCGGTGGGTCGATCGCTCGTACCGCGCGTGTGGCGATGCTCTCCCCACCCGAACGTGTGGAGGATATCAGGGTCCAAATTTTAACCCAAGCTTTCTTATCCTATTCATGACCACTGGTAAATATATCAACCCCAACCCCTATATAAGTTTTTTCAAACTAAAAATTGGAATAGAAACCAACCAAACTAAATGTGGATGAAAACCTCATAAAAATCTTGGAAATAATGTTTCGGATAATTTTTCAAATGTCTAGGCCGAGGATAAGTTAGTAGACACCCTTTTGTGTCGATGAATAATTCTCCATCGATCTTAGGAGCTATATGTAGTCGTGAACTACTGTACAGAGAAGGGTGATATCTGATGGGATCTTCTCGGCGATGAAGATGACACAATGATTTTACCTAGGTTCAAGCCTCCGGATTGGTAACAGCCCCGTCCCCAGTCGTAATCGAGAGCGCTGGTGATATTCAGGGGAGTGGAGGGGCAGGGCCGGGAATGCGGGAGCATGTTCACAGACAAGGCCGAGATCCATTCGTCACCCACTCCTCCACACACTCCTCCACAGCCGCCACCACATTATCCTTCATCTCGATAACTATTCACTATTAGGTTAACCCTGGGTGCTCCAAGATTCCACCATAATTCGCGAGATTCTAAGAATAGTTTTTAACTTCAGCTTAAAGACCATTCTACAATGTCTCTTATGTTCATGGCGATTGCGACACATGAGTAGTGCTCTGGAGCTAAAGGTGGATGCGTAATCTTGCAACTCCCCCATAATTCGCGAGATTGTAAGAATAGTTTTCAGCTTAAAGATCATTATGTAATTTCTCGTATGTTCATGGCAATTGCGGCACGTGAGTGGTTTTTTTAGGGAACTAAAATCTTTATTGATCAACTAGTTCCGGAGGAATAATTACAGAGTCATAAGGCTTAAGTAACCACGTATGTCTACCAGTATCTAAGTACAAAGAATATTTCGCTAAACTATCAGCTTCATGATTCCTTGATCTACTTTCATGAATGAAATTGCACTCCTCGAAATCTTGTGCACAAATTCTGAGCTTCCTTACAATAGTTTGACGTGCACCTCCAGTGTTTGCCTTTACATTATTTGAAGACAGTCCAATGAGACCAGAATCCTTTTAAGCATTAAATCATCAGCGGTGGCCAAAACTTCCCGCACTGCTAAGGCCTCGAAAATCGTCGGGTCTGAAATTCCTGCCCAGAAGATCGAAGAAGACCCTAAATATTTTCCATATTCATTCCGACAAACAACTGCAACTGCTCCTCGATCTCCATGTACAGAAGTAGTTCCATCCACGTTACATTTAGCGATTCCTGGAGGTGGACGAATCCAGGGTTGACTCGCCGGCTTGGGAGGCCGGGTAGCTGATAATGCTGGAGCAAGAGCCTCAACCTCTGCGATGAAGCACATGATGAACATATGTGTTGACATGGATGGCTGGAACACATGTTCGTAGATTGATTTCCAACGCGCATGCCATATCGCCCACAAAGTCACAACCATGTACGTAAATCCACATGTGGTAAAGAGTCATGCATAGTGAACAGACATAACTTTGCATTTTCTTCTCTGGTCATTATCATGTGCTCCGTCATCTCTTCGTTTGCCAAAGCCCACACTGATCTTGAAGATGAGTAGTCAAGTAATGCGTGGCACCAAGATTCTGGCTGCCCGCACGTGAGTCTCGCAACCCACGTATCTGTTGGTGGGATCCAAGATGTGCATGGCTACTTCCAGATGGGCCTTTTCTTTAGTTTTTCTCCAAGTCGGTTTTGCCACGATGTGTCTTTCATTTTCCTCTTCTCTAAGAGCATCTTCAACAGACACGTTAGATTGACCGTGCTAAAAAAAAACAACTACATTGCGCGCGTGATCGAAACTGGCGCTCCAACAGATGCGCTAAAATCCCGCGCGCCGTGGAAAACAATATTTGCGCGCGCTGTAAAATCTGGGCTGCTGCGGGTGAGGCCGCCGGATTGGGTATTGTGTTTTTACGCTTCTGGTAAAGCAAAACACTAGCCTAGTGCGCTAAAACGCTATTTTGACGCTGCAAAAAAAGTATTTAACGCCCGCGTGTCTGTCAAAGATGCTCTAAGTTAATTAAGTTTACCATGTTGAATACGTGGGATAGCAAAGCCTTGCTAGGTCGGTGGCTAAAGGGTCCCAGGCCGGCGCACATACGGGAAATATGGTATACACGTTACAAGGATACAAACATATGACTTTCTCTCGACATTAGACACCCTCATCATTTACCATTTTTTTAACATAGTATAGACGTAAGCACATATATATACATGCATACACTCACCGTTATGACCGCACACACGTACACCCTACCTTGTGAGCACCTCCGAAAAACTGAGCCACACCGTAGACGCCTCGTAGTCAACGAGAATGTCTCCTCCCATTGAACATGCATCGTCGAAAATCCTGAAATAAATCCAGAATAAATGCGAGCACCAGGACTTGAATCCTAGTGGGCCGGGGATACCATTATCCTCCTAACCATCCAACCACAAAAAAAAAAGGTTACCACCAAAATTTTCTAGACTAAGAGAAAGAGGAGTTTGCCCAGGACCGATAGTGACCCCAAGTTATCCTCTTCCCAAACTCTACCATTTTTCAGTTGGGCAAGTATAAAAAAGGAAAAAAAAAACCCGAGAGTTTTGACTTATGGATCATCAGAATCTCCAGTTGAACATATCGAAAAGTCAATTCACCAAACGGCAGTAATGTGGAAAACAAAATCGGAATGTTAAAGCAGGGTTTTCATCCTAGAGCATGTATAGTCGACATGTATCATCTCTGCAGCTCGTCCTCAAGGCATCCTAACTGAAAAGAGAATAAAAACTGGCATGCACACTCCAAGACCAGCCACAGTTCACAACATATTTAAACCACTCCAAATACCGATTGAGGAACATGCCAATGTCCAGGATGAAGCTTATCCCCAGATTCCAATCATTCCATAACAATGCCAGAGCACATTGGTTTAAGCTTACAAGCCCGCCATTCATTCGGTTCAAACTTCAAAGTAAGCATTCTCAGGTTAACACAAGATTTCAGATTGCAGATCGGTCTAGGCATAATGATCCAGAATTCTAACTTCCAAAAGATATTAATTCATTCCAAATTAAGAGGGCATAACGTTGCGTCATGCTATCGTTTTTTACATGCTGAATTGACTAAGGAATCAACCATTCTACTGAATTCAACAGCGCACAAGTAAATCCAAAATACGGTAAGCTTCCCGCCACTTTTGCCCAAACTGTGACTGAGGAAGTGCATCAGCAAATCCTAATATACCCAAACTTCTCAAGGAATCCCCCCCAAAATGAGATTTCAGGAAAGTACCACCATTAGCTTCCTAATCCTCCAAAATAACTCTGATTTGACATTTTTGAGTAACCTGCAAACCAAAATATAAACATGAGTTTGTCGAGATCTTTGTCATGATTCTGAAAAAAATGCATACTAGAGACATCAAAATACTGGCATGGAGAGAACACCTGAAATAAACAAAAGATTTTTGTTCCTTTAATTTCTTCTCGAGCTCAATGTATATAAACACAAGTAAACACAAACATGAGTTCAGAAGTACACAACAGCACAAACAGATTCCAGTTCATACTGCTTTAGAGCAATTACAAAAATGAGATGCCATCTGCAGACTGCAAACGTGCTTTGTTTATTTACTGATGCAGCAAAAGTCCAAAACAGATGGATAAGGTTGGGCAATCCACCTATACTTCAACACCCCCTCTAATGCATGACATGATAAGGCCTAAACGTGGATAGAAAGGGGTGAAGAAATACTTATTTTATTTAAATTACGGAAGCGAGACTTGAATCCAAGAGTAGTAGAGCCAAAAGGTCCAAACTCGTAGAGAAGGTTGGGCAATTCACATATACTTCAACAGTAGCAAGAACAAGCAGCAAGTTTAGGTTAGATCATTAGATCAGTAGGTGTTAATAATATATTAATGATGAAAAACAATGGATCATGCATAACCCTTTTGATGTTTCACACTCCCAAGTTTTAACTATGTAATAATAAGTCATGCTTGGTGAATCAGAAAAGTGCACCACAATAGGATTTGGGCTGTGATGAATAATACCCCCTCCGTTCCAAAATAAGCTAAAACCACAACACTTATTTTGGAACGGAGGCAGTACATGAAACAAGGAGAGCTGTTATGAGAAAGTACCACAAGAAAGATTAGCTGGTGCACTTCATTTCAACAGTTCTATTTCGACATGCAAATTCTCCCTTTTGACAGTGTTTGGCGATACCTCACTTTTAAGGGTGTTTTTCTTGCTCCAACCTGCAACAATGAAAGCAAGAACTTAAACAACTATAACACCGTATACATTTCTCTGCATAGTATAAATGACTTTAAATGGCAAAGGAGAATGAGACATTGGACAGATTACAGTAACTAGATGAATAAAATGCATATAGACATACAAATATCCAATCAAACAAACAAACAAATAAACATGTTCCCTAGTCTGCCCTGATACACAATATGGATGTGGTGACATCGAAAATTTCAGAAACAGGGATACAAACAACAATGCGCTGGTATAGAAATATAGAAACAACACTGAAATGATAATAAGGTGGCACACAAGCTCCATGGAACAGCATTGAGAGGGAAGGTGCGCACGGCAAGATGCCATCTAGCTCCCAGCAGCAATTGTTGGGGAGGCACGTCTTGGTTGTGCGCGAAAGGAAGGCACAAGTACATATTAATAGTATGTTATACATATTTTAATATAGACATGATTTCAATACTGAGCAGAGGATGCAGCAGATACCACAACTCAACACAAAGATGATAGGCTGATATTTTCTCCATATATATAAAGGCAACAAAAGTAAACAAAAATAGGTAGTTAGCTGCTACTAGGATAAGAGGTGGCACGTTCTGGTTAGGTTTAAAGGGCAGCAGAACCAGAAGATGAACAGACTAGAACATACTCAGCCTTTCACCTGAGCTATATTCCATCCACATCCCTTTTTTCCTCTCTAGAGTTCTTTTGTTTCTAGTACTGGCAGCTCACAACAAAAGGACTCCAAGCACTACTCTCCCCCAAATTCACCTAAATTTCCCCCCAGTTTTCCCAAATTCTAGCACAATCTGTGTATATATAGAGGACCCTGCATAAGCCCCCAAGGCCCCAAGGCGCACATAATTTCACAAGACAAGTTAAAATGAAATGTGTCCAATGGGCCAAACTAACAATAGGATAGTATATTTGCTTTCACCACTTCCAGGACTTAAGCAAACGGGGATGTTACCTGCAGATGGAATTTGGCTTGATTCCAGCCAGGTTGGAAGCACACATGGTAGTAGGGGATGATCTGGTACTGCTATAGCTAGACCAGAAATCCCAGTTATCTTCTTAGTAACCACATCGACGCCAAGAATTTTGTCGCCGCAGGCAAGGTACACGATGTTGGCCTTCAGTGGGTTGATGGCGCCAATTGCCAGCATTTGCTCCAAGGGTGCCGAACAGAGGAGTGCATCATCCCAAATCGGAGCAAACGCCGTCTCATGGTCCAGCGTCCAGGAGCTGCCCCCGTCGTCCAGCGAGAACAAGCTGATCACATATGGCTTCTCCTTGGACACCTCGACGTAGCGCATCTTCCCCTCGCTGACCCCCATGCGCCGGTGGCTGCCCGATGTCCTCGTCGACGCCATGCCGTCCAGGTGAGGGAGCACGCTGCCTCTCGGCAGCTCGACGAAGCGGAGCTCCGGACGGTCGCTGAGGGGGTCGACCGAGATGGCACCCCAGCTCTCGTCGATCCACCACAGGCGGTCGCCGAAGGCCACCACGGCGTTGTCGATGTCCATCTTCCGCCCAACGGGCAGCGGGGACGGCAAGCCCGCCACCTTGTCCCACTTCCCCGTCTCCGAGAGAAACCGGCGCATGACGAAGCCCCCGTCCCCCTCCTCCTCCGGGCCTCCGTCATCAGTAAACATCTCGGCCACCGCGTACCTCTCAGGCGGCCCGTCGCCGGCCTGGGACTGGGTGAGGAGGCCGAGGTGGCGGCAGGCGGAGGTCCTCTTGGTGCCGTCGAGGTCCGGGAGGCGGTAGAGCTCGCCGGTGAGCGGGTTGCAGACGAAGCGGACCACCTCCGGGTCCGCGTCCGTGCCGGCCCAGGAGAGGTTGCAGACGAGGGCGTGGGCGTCGAGGCGGGCGTGGCAGAAGCGCACGAGGAGGAGGCCGTCGCCGCTGGCGGCGGCGACCTGGCCCGAGACGAACCCGCCGTCGCCGGCCCCGGGGCGGCGCGGGTGGACGAGGTGGGCGGGGAAGGTGAGGCCGGCGACGGACGGGGCTTCGCCGGCGCGGAAGGACACGGCCGGCGCCAGCGCCCCGGACTCGTCGACCGACGCGCGCTGGATCAGGGCCCACGGCGGGCGCGAGCGGGAGCGCGCCGTGCAGAGGGAGCGGCGGAGGCCCGCGGCCGCGACGGCCACGGCAACGGGTAGGCGGCGGAGCATTCTGCTGCGGGCGGGGGTGGGGCTGTTCGGTGCCGGTGCGGTGGTGGTGGGACGGCCTAGAGACTGGAGTGGAGGAGGGTTTTGGGAGTGGGAGCGCGCGGAGCCGCCGAGTGCGTCGGCCTGGGTGAGGTGGGTTGGGTGTCGGGTTCACGCGAGGACTGCTGTGGACTGGTTCCAGCGAGCGCCCGGTGCTGACTGACGTTTTCGGCATTTCCCTCTCTTGCTTTTGAGTTTTGACCGAGCTGTCTGTTCGAATTCGCTCCGTGACCGGTCCATTGTGGGCTGTGGTTCTGCAGAGTAGCAGCGTTCTGATCGAAACCGAAATCGAAATCGCTCCATGACTGGAAAACGGATGAAACAGCGGGCACATGCTTCCTACGTTCTGCCAAATCACTTCTACCCCTAATACAAGACCGTTTTGACCCTTTAAAAAAAATATAAGAACGTTTTGCAAACTACTTACATGACTGTAAAATAAAACTACTTCCACATTATTATTAGACACCCTCAAGTTGCCACAGTAAAAAAAAATTGGTATGTTCTGCATTCCAAAATAAGGTAAAATTACGAGTGAATTCGGTTTTACCCCATATTTTGACATTTGTGACACAATTACCCCATTTAGCGGGATTCCATCTGTTTGCCTCATTTAGTAAAGGTGTTGCCACAGTTTACCTCGTTTGAAATTTTGTGTGCGTTCTGATTGTCATGTCTAGCTGGCACGCCACATCGATGGGTTTTTTCTGCCTATTTTTCTCCCTGCTGGGCTGGTCCTTGCAGCTTCCCCCATCAAGCCCAGGATCACACCAGAGTAGGTCGCTCGCATCCAACGCGGAACGCCTGAGTCGGGCCACACCATGCTGGCCTCCAGTATTCACGGCATGCATCGCTCGCGTTCCTTCCGATCGCATGCACGATCCTACCCCAAACCACTACCTCCTTCGTTAGGAGGGGTAGGACGGCGAAGAGCGGCATGCAAGAGGCGTGGCCGCTGTCGATCATCAAAGTGTGTCGTAGCTGGTACCGTCGAAGCATGTCGTAGTCGGTACGACAATCTTCTCCTCTCCCATACATGGCCGCATTCTCTATTTCTCACCCCCGGTGGAGGGTTTTGTGGCTACATTTCAGTCTAGGATGGATATTAGATGGGTTTAGGCTACTCGTTTTTCCGGTTTGAAGTATTCTGATGAGATGATTGTACTTAATAGCGTCACATGCCAACTGGACCTGACAATTAGGACATGCCGGTCAGAAGACACAGAAAAATTAAACAGGGTAAATTGTGACAAGACTTTTGCTAAATGGGGTAAACTGGATGAAATCTCATAAATGGGGTAATTAGTGTCAAAATGTCAAAATATGAGGTAAAAACATGAATTCACTCTAAAATTGCTATGTCCTACATTTCAAAAGAATTTTTTTGTATGTTCTACAACACACACACATCGTGATAATCGATGCAAAATTAATTGTATGTCAATGAACAATTCATTTTTGTTTTGTACCCTTGGCTCTGATGAGCTTGCTCTGGGGCTTGCTCTGGATAAAACATAGTTCTACGATTTTTTTCATTAAATAAATAAAATATTTACAAAAGGGATAGAAAACAAAAAAACACGGTCAACCTATGCTAGTTTTGGGCAACATAATACAATTAAGGTAGCTTATCTTCTGTCCAGGACTTGATCTTGTGCGCTCTTGCAGGCTTTGCTCTGATCTCTACCACTGCAAGTCCTTCCTCGAGGTAGTATTTCCAACCATTGAGATGAACATGAACTAATTTAAAGATCTTATCATTGCGTATCGACCAGATACCCTAGCAACTCATAAATATAACATCCATGGCAATCTCAGGTGGCATGAGTTGAGTCATAAGATAGATATCATCATAACTTGATGTCCCCCCGATTTCTAGCCGGGAAGATGAAATTCCAGCAGCTCAAAGCGAAAAGGGCAGTCCCAGAAGAGATGAGTCAGGGTTTCCTTCACATTATCATCGCACAAAACACAATTACAGGATTGCAGGTACATTCTCTTTCTTTTCAACAAGTTTCTAGTATTGACTCCGTCATGTAGTAGAAGCCAGAAGGAGATCTTATGCCTGACTCTAGCAGCACAATGCCAAATTTGTTTGAATATGTGGTGATTGTTTGTTGGCCCAATGATACTCTTGTATACCTTCATGGAAGAGAAATGTGGTGAACTACCTGACAGTTGCCATCTATCGTTTTGGTTATTGGTTTGTCTGATGTTGAGATCTGCTTGCGGTTGTTGAAATTGAGCATATGCTTGGTATGATAGAGACCTATGAAAATGCCCCCCCAGGCTTTGCTCTTCCATCATATGCTGTAGTGTAACATCTTTACTGATGGAGGATAAGAAAAGCTCTAGGTACTTTGTGCTCAAGCCTTGGTCCTGCCAGTTATCATGCCAAAAAATACAGTGTCGCCTTCCCCTGCTTTGCATTATGTAATCTATTTGAACTTAGGTAGCATTTTGGAGACATCTTTCCACCAGAAGGAGCCCACAATCCTCTCCCCAAGTGCAGCGGCCACATAGTATGTCTCCCAAATAGTCCTGGCCCATGGGATATCTTCCTTGTTGAGAAATTTATGTAAGAATTTCATAAGGATGGATTGACCGTGGGTGTCAATGTCAAGTATCCCCAAACCACCATGGCTTATTGGTTGGCAAACTTTTTCCCATGATATCATAGCATGTCCCTGTTCTTCAGTTCCATATTTCCTCTAGAGACAGTGTCTTAGGAGTTTGTTGAATTGACTACAGATTATTTTAGGAATGGATAGTGTGCTCGGGCATGCTAGCAAATACAGATTTTGTCAGGACCAACTTATCTCCATGTGAAAGAAGTGTAGAACATCCCATTACTCTTTTCTCAATTATGCATAGCATTGGAGTGAAATCTTCAACTCTTGGTCTAGAGAGGCTTAGTGGGAGTCCCGGGTATGTGATAGGGAGTGAAGCTGTCGGTGTCAAAACCGGCGGATCTCGGGTAGGGGGTCCCGAACTATGCGTCTAAGGTGGATGGTAACAGGAGGCAGGGGACAAGATGTTTACCCAGGTTCGGGCCCTCTTGATGAGGGTAATACCCTACGTCCTGCTTGATTGTTCTTGATGATATGAGTATTACAAGAGTTGATCTACCACGAGATCGTAGAGGCTAACCCTAGAAGCTAGCCTATGGTATGATTGTATGTTGTCCTATGGACTAAACCCTCCGTTTATATAGACACCAGAGGGGGTTAGTGTCGGTGTCAAAACCGGCG